CAATCGGATTCCCAGGATATTGTGAGTGGGCCATGTACATGTTTATAGGATTTATATGTTAATGATCAGGGAAATGTAACGGGTCATTTGTGAAGGTCACCTGCAAGGGGTACTTTCTGCTATCTCGATTCTGGCGGGCTGGATGGACATACCACTGATCCAAGGTGATGCTCGATTTCTTCTGAGTGGGCAACTCAAAGCCTCTGATTTTAAAACTCCTTTCATGAGGGCAGAAATTGTTTGTTAGCCAAAACTATAAGCTGTTCAGACGCTCCAGTGGACGCAGGCATATGACTCTCCACAAGAGAAGGATTGTGATGAATTGTGCCTTTCACTTTTTCGGATACTACAAGTACCCAGAAGCGGGGGCAAGACCCCTGACTCATCGTGTTTTCTCATCTCCATCATCACGAAACCCCGTCATCGGGGTCTCTCTCTCTCTCTCTCCATCACTTGCCGCGCAGCAGCGTCGCGCAGCGTGGAGGCGGCCATCAAGAAGGCTTATCGGACCAAGTCCTTAGAATATCATCCGGACAAATGCTCCGATGACAAGGCGGACTCTCGCGGTCACGTGAGTCTCGCTGTCTTTCTGTGCAGAGCTGGGTGCTTTCCCTGGGGTGGGACGGCTGGATTTCCCCTTCACCGTTGCAGATTACCATTACTCACTAGTAGACCTTCAGGACTTCTCTGTTGAGGACCGTTTTTTGGTTTGTTCCAAGATTTTGGCACGAAACTCAAAGACCAAAGGCGCAGTCTGTGTTTTTCGAGTGTTTCTTTGGAGCTCTTCATCTTCCGGAGCTCTTCATGTACCCATCGGCGGCACCAATTGGGTCCACCACGGTACGACCCCAATCCATTCAGCGGAGCTGACCCTTCCACCCATGGAGGTGACCAGTGCGCTCAGGAAAGACTCAGATGTTGGCTGAAAATGCTTTGTGACTTATAGCAATGGCCTCCAACCTAATACCGATGGCCTCCAACCTAATAGCGAGGCTTCCAGACGTTGGCTGAAGATGCTTTTCTGTGGGTGTGACGATGAACATGAGACGTACGTAGCTGAAGATGCTTTTCTGTGGTGTGTGAACAAGTGCCAAGTGCCAGGCAGAAGGATCCTTTCTTTACATGGTTTTGAAGAAGAAGAAGAAGAAGAAGGAGGAGAAGAAGAAGAAGAAGAAGAAGAAGAAGTGCCAAGCACTTTTACCTCACCCATGGCTGCGGCCCAGAAGTCCGATGTAAGAGTTCCCCATCGGACAGTTCTCCAAAAAAACAAACCCACCATTTCGAAGCATCAGATGTCGAAGCGCCCAGGGTTTCCTGGTTGAAGATGGTGTTCTGACCTTTTCCCCGAAGGTGGTTGAACATAGAATTAAGTTTATTTAATACCTATTTAATTCTTGTTTCTACTAGCTTCTTGTTACTAGTAGTAAGGCACTTGTTACTAGTAGCGATGCACTTGTTACTAGTAGCACTTATTAAAGTGGAAAAGACCGTTTGCCCGTTCCCACTTCCCATGTGTTCGCCACCAGGACGAGTGTCAGACCAAGTTCATCGAAGTCTCCACGGCCTACGAGGCGATGGGGTTGTCGACAGTATTGACTCTGTTTTGAACAAGGCCTGCAACTGAACCATCATCATCCACTGTTACAGGTCATAGGATAGATCGATATTGAGACTGCCAGGAATTCGGGTTGCGAAATCCCCAAACCCGACTCTTTTCTCCCACAGAAGTATTCCTCGACATCGTTGGCCAGTTTTCTCGGCTCTCTGCTTCCCCACAGAGACCAGAGTCTCAGACTATCCATCGTTTCGGTTCATCCAGCCAGGGTCAGGCAGTGAGAATCCGCACGAATTTCCGTGACCTGGTGGTGTTTTTTTCATGTTCCTTTCCGCGCCTGAAGGAAAGGTCTTGGCTCTAGTTCACTTACAGACTGGTGGTTTTCGTTCAGCTTTGCAACATGCCTCGGTGTGGTCCATCCTGGATTCGAGCCGTGGATTATCGCTGTGAGTATGGCAAGCGAACATGAATTCCAATGGCAACGAAAGGGTCCTTTCGGGGTGGATGTCATCGCTGGTAGGTTGGAGGCCATCGCTAAGTAGCTTCTTGCTACTAGTAGTAAGAATGCTCCTAGTAGCGATGCCAGGAGCCCCTTCCTTGCTTCCTTGGGAAGAAAAGTCCTTTGGATTCGAATCCAGGTCCTCTCCGACGCCGAGAAGCGCAAGGCATGCGCAGAACCGCCGGTTTTCGCGACAAGAAGTGGCATCCGGAACGGACGAAGCTAACAGACGAAGCCCGGAAGCGTCTGCGTGGGCCGGGCAGACGGAGCCTCACCAGATTTTCTTGCCGCAGGGCCGGGCAGGGCATCTTTTTCTCATGTTGCTGGAGAGAAGCTTGGAGTGAAGATGGATTTCTTTGTGGGTGAACACAACGAGCCTCACCAGACCGTTGGAATCAGTGTAGGTACAGTGTAGCTAGGGTATAGTTTCCGTCCCAAGCAGTCTCTTCCAGGTCTATGACCAGCACGGAGAGGAAGGCCTGAAGGAAGGGCACCAGTCCAACGAGCAGGCGCATGGCACACGGCAGCCTGACCTTCCTTCATCGGGATGAATCAAATGTTCGGTTACTTCAACTATTCGTTGGCGTTGGGGCTGGTTTCGTGAATATCATCATGAATAATCTTCAAATTCAATTTGTCACCTTTTTTGGAACGACACTTTTTCGCTTCCCATGATTTCGTCAGCGATTTCTGGTCCACCTTCTTTTGCGGATCTCATGATTTCGTCGGTGGAGTCGAAGAACACCTGTGAAAAGGCCGATGGGATCCACCCATGGCTCAGAGCGTTTTTCCTCGCTGTAAGGACGGTTGAAGAACTGAACATCGCAATGCAACTGTCTCGGAGTCTCCACAATGCAACTGGTGAGCCATGCAACTCTCAGAAAAGTGAGTGATTTCTGAACCCTCGTCTTTTGAAGGGGCCATGATGTCCACTTCCAAATTTGGGAGACTAAATTCCAAAAAGCCAGGAGCACTTTTCGAGTGACTATGGTATAGTTAGCGATTTGTCAGTTCCACGTTGGAGCTGTCCACCACACACTCACAGCCACATTCTGACCCACCATTCTGACCATTTTCGTCTGACTAAAAGGTGCTGAACTCCAAGTTCATCGTTCCAAGGACGCAGCATCGCGCACTGGGCGCACGCTCCGGCTCGTTCAGGCCAAGGCCATGTTCCGGCAGTTCTTTGGGCGGGAGCCCGACGGCAACGTCGGAGCCTGGGAGTGGGGCGGAGGGGCGAAGCTGGTCTAGGGTGGTGATGGTGGCGAAGCAACAAGTGCCACGCTAGTAGTAACAGGTGCCTTACTAGTAGTAACAAGAAGCCATCAATTTAACATTAATTCTAATAGCTTCTTGTTACTACTAGTAAGGCACTTGTTACTAGAAGCGATGCACTTGTTCCTAGTAGCTTTTTTCCATCTACATAACTCCCAAACTGCAGACCTTGCGTCGGGAGTTTCTCCTTTTGGGCCACCCAGTGGGTGACTGGATGACGGGAGGGTGCGAATCTGGCTAGCTTTCTTTGTTGATTCCGACTCCCAGACATGT